GCCCCCCGCCCCAGCCCCGGAGGGAGCTCATGGGAGTATGAAGGAGATGGTAGGAGGCTGCTGCGTATGTTCGGACGAGAGGGGCTGGGCCGAGAACCCGCTGGTCTACTGTGATGGGCACGCGTGCAGCGTGGCTGTCCACCAAGGTACGGGGGTGGCCCGCGGGGGGCGGCGGGACCCCAGGGGCGGCGCGCGCGAGGCGCCCCCGGCCGCGCCCTCCGGAGACCTCCCGGGGCTTGCGCGCCCCTCCCCCACCCCACCTGAAGGAAAGGGAGGCGTAGGGGGGGGCTCCCCCGGCCCGGTCCTGGAGGACCGGGTCAGGCATTGTTTTCTTGCCTATTGTTCCAGTCCCGCGCCCCCACCCCAAGTTGACGGAGTTTGAGGACAGTCTGGGTGGCAATGAGTGTACTCTCCGCGTCCCACACTGCCAGTGTCGGGGCTGCTGGGGGAATGTTTACCTGTTCGGTGTCCCCTCCCGCCTGGTTATTTTGGTCCTGGCTCCCGGAGGGAGAGGTCAAGGGGGGTCATCCCCCCCTCCGGCTTCCGGATACTGGGAGGAGCAGAATTGGGGAGGGAGGAGAAGGGTCCCAGGGGAGAGGGACTCCTAAATCCTCCGGGGAAGAGCTGAGGCTAGGAGAGAGGTTGTACAGGGGGCCAGGGAATGGAGAAGAGCGGTTCGGAGTTTCCCCCAGCAGCACATGGTTCGGGAGTTAACTCCTTGAGGAATCTTGCCGAGGGCGCAGGCTGGCATCTCCCGCCTGTCTGGCACAGACAGCTGGGCCCCCACTTTCTGGGACGGCCTGTAATGCAGTCTCTGTAGGCGCTTCCCGCCACTCTCCTCTCGGTTACCTGGACTGCACCTGCCCTTGGCCTTGACTTGTGACCTGTACCTGTAACAGTTAGAGGCAGAAAATGAGGTCCCTGGACCCCGGACTTTCCTGCCTCTTCCCTTACTGGCCCTTTAAGAAATACCCCCCCCTTCCAATAACAACAAAACGTGTGTGACTGTGGTGAATGTTGTCTCCTCTGGTTTTTTCTATTCCTGAAGTGGAGGACTGTTCCCTGATAAGAGCTGTGAAACAGGTCCAGAAAGGGCATGTGGGGGGCAGGGGGAGGGTCTGCTCAAAGTTTAAGGTCAAGGACTGGGACTTCCCGCCCATGGTTGCAGTGCTTGGCTGTGTGGTTGAAGGCTGACCCTGTGCTGCGGGGCATTACCTATGGTCTCTCAGTCTAGTAAGAGCCCCCCCAGGCAGGGGAACAGCCCCCCCCCGCCCTCCCCCCTGTTGGAACTGGTTCTAGTCCTTTAGTCACCCCTTTCTCCCAGTCACAGTAGGACAAGCCACTGGCTGACAGATTTGCTCAGTGACTCTCCTCCCCCACCCCCAGCTTGCTATGGCATCGTCCAGGTGCCCACAGGACCCTGGTTCTGCCGGAAATGTGAATCTCAGGAACGAGCAGCCAGGGTGGTGAGTTTGAGACTCCCCTCCCCCTCCCATACACCTGAGCACCTACTCCCCCTTGAGCTAGGGGACTCTGAGGCCAGGGTGGGACTCAGCCTGTCACCCAGGACTTCCTGTTTCCTGCACACCTATCTCCAGCCCTATCACTTCACTCATCCTTCACTCTACCCCACCCAGAGCTGCAGGCCTTTTGTTTACATGTTGGTTTGAACTTTTATTATGGAAAGTTTACAACCTGCACAGACTAGAGGAATGAAAGTCTTGTTCCCATTATCCGTTTTCAACAGTTACCAACTCAAGGCCAGTCCTCTTTCCTCCACCGCCCACCCATCCCACACAGACATCCTTTCCCCTCGGTCCCTTTGCATGTGTTTAGGAAGGGCTGGGCTCAGCAGATCCCCTGTCTTGTTTTGGATCCCCCCCCTCAATCTCTGTGCCCTCTTGCATTGGCAGAGGTGTGAGCTGTGCCCACACAAAGATGGGGCATTGAAGAGGACTGACAATGGAGGTGAGGGTAGCCCTGAGCCCAGGGCTCGTCTGTGGAGGTCAGCCAGGCTGCCTGAGCAGGGTCTGGGAAGGCAGAAGTGGGCTGGGGTGGAGTGGAGGCTGGGTTTCCCTTCCCTGATCAACACTGGAATCTGATGGGAAAGCCAGAGACGGGGCCGTCTGCAGTTTGGGTTGTGAGGGGCCAGGGTCTCCAACCTGCCATCACAGCTGAGGCCTGCCCCGCACCCACTGCCCCAGGCTGGGCCCACGTGGTGTGTGCCCTCTACATCCCCGAGGTGCAGTTTGCCAACGTGCTCACCATGGAGCCCATCGTGCTGCAGTACGTGCCTCATGATCGCTTCAACAAGGTCAGCGGCCCCTGCCATGCCCGCACGAGTCCCCTCCCTAGCCAGCACCCTTGGGTCCCTCCAGCTCTCTCTCCATTCAGTGTAATTTGATTCTGTGCAGCTGACGTGTTCAGGGAATTCAGGAGGTGGGGAGGCACCGTCTGCTAACATCCCCCCCACACGCATGCTCTGGAACCCCATGAAATAGCAGGCTGCCTTGCAGTAGTACTGCCAAAGGGGACCTGAAAAGCTGGTCATTCATTCATTCACTGAGTACACTGTACTAGCCTGCTGTGTGCCAACCCGGCTGAGATGCCAGGCAGTGTTCAGTATTGATTGACATGTGTACCCCTGCCACATGGAGCTCACGCTCATGTGTTTGAAGATTGCACATATCAGTGAACAGGCGAATCAAGTGAGTGCAGCTTGTGGTAAACATTATGAGGAAAGCAAATGAGGTACTGAATGAAGAAGAACCCAAGAACAGAGACATTTCGGCCAAGACTTGGGGGATGAGAAGGAGCCATCCTGGAGGAGGGTGTGGTGCCAGCTTTCAGGCAGAAGCAATAGCATGTGCAAAGGTGGGAATTTGCGCTCCAATGAGCAAGACACAGAGATCCCAGCCTTACCATCCAAGGTCACCATCCAGTATGGTATCCACTGGCCACATGTGGCTATATAAATTAATTAAAGTGAAATACAACTTAAAATTCCATTCCTTAGTCACACTAGCTGCATTTCAAATGTTCAGCAGCCAGGTGGTATGTGGCTACTGTATTGGCTAGCACATCATAGACATTTCATCACAGAAAGTTCTACTGGATAGCACTGGCCTAGGCCCAAGGGGAGAAGGTGGTGGTGAGGGGGGCCAACGGAGCCCTCACGTGGAAGGAGGACAGCTGGGCTGTGTCCTGCAGACGTGCTACATCTGCGAGGAGCAGGGCCGGGAGAGCAAGGCCGCCTCGGGGGCCTGCATGACCTGTAACCGCCATGGATGTCGGCAAGCTTTCCACGTCACCTGGTGAGACCCTGCCTGTCCCCCACACCCCCACCGAGGGTCCCAGTCCAGCTCCCCACTTCCTGCAAGGGTGGCCGGAGATGGTCACGGAAAGGGCTCCTCCAGGCTGCTTTCCCTTGGTGGTGATGGCAGCGCTGTTCTGGTCCTTGGCTTTGCCCCAGTGGGGGTTCAGGAGGGTGGGAGGGAGGTGCCTGGTTTGGCTTGCGCTGTCCTCCTCAGGCTGATCTCTCTTGGTTAGTGCCCAAATGGCAGGCCTGCTGTGCGAGGAAGAGGTGCTGGAGGTGGACAACGTCAAGTACTGTGGCTACTGTAAATACCACTTCAGCAAGATGGTGAGTCTCATCTGCCAGGGAGCGCTGGGTCAGCCAGCCATGGTTTAGCGGCACAGGCTCTGGATGAAGAGAAACCTGCCCCGACCCTTGAAGAGGTTGCCGCTGGCTGAGAAGTAAATTGAAGTGCAGCCTGAGGGGTGGAAGAGTAGAATTGAGCACTTCTTCCCAGAGTCCAGAACCCTGTCTGTTAGTCTCGGGGGCTTCAGGGAAGAGGTGGCATTTGAGCGGAGGTGATGGGGACAGTGAGCACCAACAATAGGCCTGCCCTCTGTACGCAGATCTTATTTTGTGTGGTCCTCCCTGTAGCCCCAAGGATCACCTGTACTGTGTCTCCCCATTTTACAGATGAGTAAACTGAGACCCACCAAAGTTAGGCAATTGATCTCACAGCTGGCGTATGGGATTGCTAATAGACCATCTGATTTTAAAACTGGAAAGAGTCCCAGGCAGAGGGACTGACATAAACAAGGTGAAAGGAGAAAGAATGCTCATTAACAACAGGACTGGGTGTTTGGTGGGGACGAGTTGGGTAAGGAGGTAAAAAGGCTCAGGCAGGGCCAGCGTGGGGCTTGCTTCTGCCGCTTCAAGGGCCCACGCAGAGCTGGAGGTGGGTGGCATTACCCTGTGTTTATGGAAAGACCTGTCCTCCAGAAGCTTTGGGGTACCCTGCAGTGGCAGGCATGGCTGGGAACGCAGCCTGGGCCTCACCCCTGGTCCTCAGGCTCGTAAGACTGCATTTGAGCAGAAAGACAACCCGTGCGGGTTTGTTTTTTAGGAAAAGCACTCCGGCAGCCACTGTGAAGCTGGACTGAAAGGCCCAGGCTGGTGACTGGGGGACAGCTACAGGAATGGGGGTTGGAGGGATAAGCCTGGGCTTTAGCCCCATTTCTAGGTAGCCTTGCCTGTGTGTGGGGGGGGGGTGGCTGAGGAGTTGCTGAGGGCACACAGGCTCTGGGCTCTGGACATGGGGTGGGTAGGACTTGAATCCCTGGGGGTGCTGTGATGCGGCGGACTTCCTAGGGCTAGCATGTCAGGCTCTGCCCGCATAGTCCTACTTTGTGACTATTGCCCTGTATAATCACTAATAGCTCTCCCTTTCATTTCAGAAGTACCCCGATTAGTTCATAAGTTATATGAACTTGGTCACCTTGGTTTCAGGGTTTGATGACGACTTAGGGCAAAATCGGGAGTTAATTCAGTTTATAGGAGGTACCATGTGGGGATGGTCAGACATTTGGTGATAGTCAGACCTCTGGGCCGGGGAGGAGTGGCAGTCCAGGGGTGTAATTCCCAGGTACCCACCAAAGTAGAATAGATGTGTGGACAAGTCTAGAACTCAGCAGGTTCCGTTGGTGTCCACTATGGATAGCAACTGGGTTGAGGCCTGACATTAGTCCTTGGGGTTGGCAACGGGGACGTGGTAGGTGACCCTGGAGGGAGTAGCTGCAAGTCTGGGTGGGTGATGCCACCAGACTGGACCCGGAGGGTGGGGGGCAGGGGGGGCAGTTTCCACTGGCACTGAAGGGAACGAGGGACAGCCCAGCTGGGAGGCAAGGCAGCATGGAGTCACTTGGGCTTTGCTACTGTAGATGTTACTTCCCCTTTCCAAGGGCAGCATGTGGACAGAAGAAACCATTGTTTGGGTTTTGGAGGGGAAGGTCCAAGAACAAGAGCAGAGGGGCAAGTAGCTAGAGGGAAGTGTCTGGGGAGAGGATGGGGTGTGCAGTCAAGGGGAGCAGGAAGCAGAGAGGCCACCCCGCTTGAGAGGGGTCCAGAGAAAGGTGGGTTGAGAGACAGAATTGGGGCTCGTCCCAACTCTGGGCTTTGCTGGGGCCAGGCACACCCCTGCTCTCTGGGCCCAGCTGCCCAGGGCATTAGATGAGCAGCTGCGGGCTTCTAGGGTGGTTGCCGGTCTAGGGAGCAGAGCACTGCAGAGGAACGAGGCAGGCGGGCCATGCGACGCCTCTCCCTAGCCAGGGGCTGGAGGGCCTGGCCATACCCACAACTCTTTCCCCAGAAGACGTCCCGGCACACCAGCGGGGGAGGTGGAGGAGCAGGAGCAGGCACGGGGGGCAGTGGCGGCAGCTTCATCGCCGACCGGAGAAGCCGGTCAGCTTCACCTTCCACCCAGCAGGAGAAGCACCCTTCCCACCACGAGAGGGGCCAGAAGAAGGTAAAATCTCCCTCGCCTTTCCTGTCCAGTCCCACAAACACACACTTCCTTCAAGAATCCACCGCAAGGTGTCCCCTCCTTGGAGGCCACTGAAGGCCAGGAGGAGACTGAGGAAGTAACCTGGAAGGACCATAGAGGGAAGTGAGGGCCTGACCTTCCTGAAGCTGTGCGCTTCCTCCCTGGGCCTCCCCTGCCATGACAGCGTCCCGGAGCCCCCACACGTACTGTCTCCACAGTCTAGCCGCTCTGCTGGCCCAGTTTGCCAGTGTGCAGGCCAGCATCCCCTCCTGCACATGGCACAGTGCGCTGGCTCCTGTCCCTCTGTCCAGCTTCACCTCCTGGTGGACACCCTTGCAGGTGCAGGCTCATGCGTGCGGTGCTCTGTGTCCTGTGGCTGGTATGATAATGGGACAGGCTATTTTTAGCAGGCAGTGAGAATGGAGGGAGGGCTGCTGGCTCTGGGAGGGAGCTGCCTGCACTCCCCTGTCTGGCCAGAGTCTCCCAGCCTGTCCACAGGGGAGGATGTCCACTCCCCACACCCACATGTCAGATTTATCCCCAACACCAGTAACTGGTCCCTTCTTCCACAGAGTCGAAAGGACAAAGAACGCCTTAAACAGAAGCACAAGAAGCGGCCTGAGTCACCCCCCAGCATCCTCACCCCTCCTGTGGTCCCCACTGCTGACAAGGTACTGCTGCCCACACCTAGGAGGGACGGATGGCACGCTGGTCTGGTCACAACTGTGGGAGGGAGGCAAAGTGTGAGAGGTGAGGAAGAGCCAGGGGCCTGGGCACCCCCACTCCAGATCAGTGCACTTGTGCACCCACCCTGCTGCCCTCTGACATCCTGTCCTCTTAACCTCACAGGGGCCTGTGCACCTCGCCCTCACCAATCACTGACCAGCCAGGGGGTGTGGGGTCCCACCCTGCCTCCTGGCTGCCAGATGTGCGCATCTGCCTCTGTCCAGACAGAGGCTCAGCACAGGGCTGCTGACCCAGTACTCAGCCCAGTGGAGACCCTTCCCCCACATCAGGAAGAGGCCCAGAACCTGTCACCTAACCTGTTGGGTGATGTGCAGGTTGGAGGGATTGAAAGTGGGAGCCACAGTAGCATGCGGGGGCAGGCCCGTGGACAGCACCTTAAAACCCCACTGGTCCCACCCTTCCCAGTAGAGCATTACGCCAAGCCGCTCTCCAGAAATGAGCAACATCTGGATGAGCAACCGATAGACCCTACCAGAGGCCAGGGAATCACTAATCCAAGCCAGAGCAGCCCTCCTCTGCCTTCCCCAAGGAAGGAGAAGGGGCATCTATTGGGAGAAACTGCCCCCTTCCCCTCCACAGCCTCAGGAGGTCGGCAGCCTTTGGGCATCTTAGCAGGCCAGGTGTCAGGTTTCCAGGGTGATGTTGCTGTGGCAACTGTCCCTGTAATCTCCCCTCCTGGTGCCCCAGGTCTCACCTGGAAAAGTTCATTATCCAAGCCTGCAGGCAGGTGGAGAGAGAGGGCCAGAGTCTGGGCCAGTGTCCCCAGTGTCCAGCCCCACAAGGACAGGTTGGCTCATGCCACTCCTCCCCCTCCACCCCCAGGACTGCAGTCACCCCTCCTCCTCGTCCCTCTTTTCCCGGCTCTCAAACACATCTGGCTCCCTTCAGAACTCCAGCTGTTGAAAGAACAAAGAGGAAGACAGAGACCAGGGTTCCACCCAGGGAAGGACAGTGGGGGGCTTCCCTACCCGTTCCAATCCCGCCTCCCTCTGGCCTCTGGGCCTTGAGCACAGAACTGGCTACCTGTCTCTACCAGGAAGAGACGCACCTTGCCTGGCAAAAACAGGAAGCCCTAACTACCTCATGCCAGACACTCTTCTAGAAGGGGGATAGAAGGGATGCGTGGGAAAATGGCTCATTTGTCCTCAAAATAATCCAGTGACGGAGGTATTTCATTAGCCCCGTTTAATAAATGAAGAAACTGAGGCGCAGAGAAGTTAAGTAATTTGCCTGAAAACAAGCAGCTGGTAAGTGGTGGAACTGAGACCTGAACCCAAGCGGGTGACTTGGGGCCTGTAGCGAAGGGGGCACGCAGCCACCAGACTCACCCCCACTCTGGCGTCTGGCACTAAGCACGCCGTCACTCTGCCACAGGCACCATTGACCCGTAAGGACACTGATGCTCGGGCGGTCGAGCCCATTCCCCAGAACTGTGGCAAACCGTGGAGCCCGCCAGGCTCCACACCCACTCTGCCCCACCCGAGCCCATTCTCCAGCTACCACCCTGCCACCCTCGGAGAAGGGCCTCACACGCAGGTCCACCACTCAGTACAGGGTGGCAACTATTGATGGGACCTTGGTACCCTGACCATGAGGCGACAGAGTAAGCTGCTGCAGCCCAGGGACCCAGGCTTCATGGAAGGAGGGGCTTTCCAGCTGGATGTTTCCTGGAAAGAGGCAGGATGGGCTCCCTTGGCAGAGGACCGGGCACTAGCAGCTTACATTGCCTAGGAAGAGTGGCAGGTCAGATGGGGCAGGAAGGGCGCTGTGGCAACTGGAGGGCCAGAGAATGGGGCCAGGGCAGCCCGTCTGCCTCGTGGTCTCCCTTAAGTGAAGGAATGAACACAAGTATATTTGTCCCAGTGAACTGGGGACAGTCCATCCCCCCCCCCCCACCACCACCACCACATTCCTGCTGGAGGTGAAAGACAGCTTCCTGGTTCAACGCACTCTCCAGTCCTTGCACCCAGAAGTTCCACAACAGCCTCCCCATCCCTCCTCTAGGGGCTCCCACCACCATCTCCCTGTCCTCAGGTCTCCCAGAGCTAACTGCCTCTTCCACTCCCTGAGTTCTCAGGGAGGACTCAGAACAGGATGGCCCACCTCAAACCTTCCTCTCTCCCACCTTCAGGTCTCATCCTCGGCTTCCTCCTCCTCCCACCATGAGGCCAGCACTCAGGAGACCTCTGAGAGCAGCAGGGACACGAAGGGGAAAAAGTCTTCCAGCCATAGCTTGAGTCACAAGGGGAAGAAACTGAGCAGTGGGAAAGGTGTGAGCAGTTTCACCTCCACCTCCTCTTCCTCCTCCTCTTCCTCCTCCTCCTCCTCCGGGGGGCCCTTCCAGCCTGCAGGTGAGTGTGGGCATCCTGGAGGAGGCTGACAGGGGCCATCTTCCATTCTGTGCCTGTCTAGCAAGGACCTTTGCATACTGGTTTGCATCTCATTTGCTTCTGGATCAAGACGGGGAATCCCCACCAAGTGACTCCTCCTACCCCCTCAACCCTTCCCTCCTGAGCTGAACTCTCCTCCCCTCCCTCTGTCTCAAGGCTGGTCCTCTCCCCTTGTAGTAGTGTCCACTAGCCCCTGCACTTGTGCAGCAAGGCGCCATTTGAAAAAAAAAAAAAAAAGATTTATTGATGCATTCAAGAGCTGGGGTATAGGCCAGAGGTGTAGAAGAGAGAGGATTTACCAGAGACAGAGTGGGGAGCAGAACAGGCAGGTCAATTGAAAGACACTGCTGAGGAGAGCAGCGGGCAGGCAAGACAGGACAGGTCTGCTAGGCCATGTGGGTCAGCTCCCTGGCCAGGGGGCATCAAACTTGTGCTGCAGTGGCTGCGAATAGCTACATAGTGCTGAGACTTTACCCCTGTGCCACCAGGGAGGCCCTGTTTTTAATGCACTAACATTGATGCTCTCCTGTAATGGCTAGAGTCCTCCAGTGAGGCCAGATTCATTTCCTCCCACTTTATCCCAGGTGGGAAAGTCAGAGGGGACACTCACTCCAAGACACAAGAGACAGTGGCCGAGCTGGGACAAGAAAATAGGCCTGAATTCTCCACCAGTGTGCGACGGGGGGCTCTGGGGCCCAGCTGTAACCCCTCTTTTCTTCTGCGCAGTTCCATCCTTGCAGAGCTCCCCCGACTTCTCTGCATTCCCCAAGCTGGAGCAGCCAGAGGAGGACAAGTACTTCAAGCCCGCGGCCCCAGCCCCTTCAGCCCCTGCCTCTCCCTCAGCCCCTGAGCCCCCCAAGGCCGATCTCTTTGAGCAGAAAGTGGTCTTCTCTGGCTTCGGGCCCATCATGCGCTTCTCCACCACCACCTCCAGCTCTGGCCGGGCCCGGGCCCCCTCCCCTGGGGACTACAAGTCTCCCCACATCTCTGGGTCTGGGGCCTCAGCAGGCACTCACAAGCGGATGCCCACACTGAGCGCTGCCCCTGTACCTTCGGAGGAGACACCCGAGGCAGGCCTGAAGGAGAAGAAGCACAGAGCCAGCAAGAGAAGTCGACATGGGCCAGGCCGTCCCAAGGGCAGCCGGAACAAGGAGGGCGCTGGGGGCCCAGCTGCTCCCTCCCTGCCTGGTGCCCAGCTGGCTGGCTTTACAGCCACTGCTGCTTCACCCTTCTCCGGAGGTTCCCTCGTCAGCTCTGGCCTGGGTGGTCTGGCCTCCCGCACCTTTGGGCCCGCAGGGAGCCTGCCCAGCCTGAGCTTGGAGTCCCCTCTGCTAGGGGCAGGTTAGTGACCCCTGGGGACAGAGGGCATCCCAGGGCCCAGGCAGTCTGGTGACGGGATAGAGGCATAAACATGCTGTTAGAAGGAAATGAGACACTGCCCCACAGGACAGAGATGAAGGGTAGCAGGACAGGCACATCCAAGACATGCCTTTATCGCCTGCTTGTTTGGAGGGAAAGATTGGGGTAGACTGCCTGCAGGACTTAACAAGTTGTGGTCTGGGCATTAGAAAAGCCAGGAATTTCCCAGGCCCGCGCGGGGCAGTTTAATGAGCACGCATGTCAAGCAGATGTTACCCAAGCAGGAAGTGACATCTTCACAACCAGAGGATTAGGCTGGGGTGTATGGCCAGTTCCAGGGATGTACTTTTCCCGAGGAGGAGGAGGAGCCACCTGCCCAGGGAGGATGTGGGGGGTGGTGACTAGTTCCCTCTGTCTTGTGCCTGTAGGCATCTACACCAGTAATAAGGACCCCATCTCTCATGGTGGTGGAATGCTGCGGGCTGTCTGCAGCACCCCACTCTCCTCCAGCCTGCTGGGGCCTCCAGGGACCTCAGCCCTGCCTCGCCTCAGCCGCTCTCCATTCACCAGCACCCTCCCCTCCTCCTCCTCCTCGGCTTCTATTTCCACCACTCAGGTGAGGCCTCTCTCCTCCACATCCCTGAGCCATGGGCGGGGCTGCAGAGGACCCCAGCCTTCTGGGGCATTTGGGAGCTGGGAATCGATCAGGCTGGAACCTAGTTCTGGCTCCTCCCCAGCACACCTGGAGCCGCCACCCCAGTACACACTTTCGTGCCCTAGATCCAAGAATAACCACCAGGCGGGATGTACCTCCTTTTCCCTTAGGTGTTTTCTTTGGCTGGCTCCACCTTTAGCCTCCCTTCTACCCACGTCTTTGGAACCCCCGTGGGTGCTGTTAACCCTCTCCTCACCCAAGCTGAGAGCAGCCACACAGGTATGTGACCCCACTTACTTCCTCCGAGTCACCCACTGCTTGCCTAGCACCCCATAAAGGATGGGAGGGTTTTCTGGCTGTCCCCTCCCTCTAGCCTTTGCCCACTAGGCAAAAACAAAAGAATTCGCACAGAACAAACCAGGGTACATTTCCCTTTAACACCAGGTGAGCTGGGACAAGGCAGAATTACAGCTCCATCTCACAGAGGAAGAAGGCAGAGGTTAAAGACGCCTAAGACAGTTGGGGGGGAACTAGGGAAAGAACAGGGTCTCCAGTGCTGGTTTCCGGCAGGCCGCAGAGGAGGCCGCTGACCCCGCCTTGGGGTCAAGGTTGCCCGGAGGGATAACCTGCGCCCAGGTATTTAGGAGCTCAGGGGTGGTAAGCAGTGCCCCAACTTCGCCTCAGGGAGCCGCCCCAGCCTGGGAGCACGGATCGGTGCAGACTCGCCATTGCCCGCGGGGTGGGGCTCGGTGAGCGGCTGCCTGGAGGAGCGTGAGCCCGGCAGGGTTAACACGTCGGAAAAGGGCAGTTTCCAACGCCAGATCCTAGCTCTGACCCAACAGAGGGCTCTGCTTTCTGACTTGGGAAATTATGAACATAAAAAATCGTACAAAGCTAATCACGATAATAGCTATAATTAAGAGCGCGCGAGCCAGCCAGTCGGGTCGGCCAGTAACTAAAGAGGTTAGTTTTGCACCTAAGGGCACACAGCAAGCATCAAGTCCAAGCTTCAGTCCAGCCTAGAACTGTCTTGACCCCAATTGTCTGTAACAGCTTCAGGAAAGAAACTAAAGGCAACCTGGAGAAAGGAAGGCCGGATTGGGGGGGGGGGCTTCCCTCACAAGGGCCCAGATATCAAAGCCAGGGTTCCCAGCGCCTTATGAGCTAGGACTCCCCGTGGGGCCAGGAAATCCAAGAGAATAGGGTGGGGGTGGGAGGTCCCAGGTCCCTTGCCCACGTCTCTGGCAGGAACTGTTGAGGTCCTGGGCATCTCTTCCCTGCTGACCCCTAACCTCCCTTCTCCTTCCAAGAGCCAGACCTGGAGGACTGCAGCTTCCGGTGTCGGGGAACCTCCCCCCAGGAGAGTCTGTCTTCCATGTGAGGGAGGGAGCCTGGGGAGGGTGCTGGCCGATGGGCTGGAGGGACAGCGGAGGACCCCACGGAGGGGGGGTGATTAGGGGGAGGAGTGGGCCCCTGTGTGGAGGTGGAGGTGGGAGGCGGGATGAAACTTGGTGGGGGACTTGAGGTAAGCCTGAGCCGGGTTTCCCTTCTGACCCCAGGTCCCCCATCAGCAGCCTCCCAGCACTCTTTGACCAGACGACATCTGCACCCTGTGGGGGCAGCCAGGTAGACCCAGCTGCCCCAGGAACCACTAACATGGAGCAGCTGCTGGAGAAGCAGGGCGACGGCGAGGCTGGAGTCAACAGTGAGGAGGGGTGTCGCCGGGCTGGGAGACCTGGGCCCCAGTAGAGTCACTGACCCACAGATGTCTTAAAGTTCTGCTGCCCCCGCAGAACTCTTGCGGACTCCGGACTTCAACTCGCCTCCGTCGATCCCTCCGCATCCCAGTTTCTGCTTTCAGGCCTCCCGATCCACGCTTCACCAAACCCCAACTTCCGCCCGCCCCTCTCCCTGGACCCCAGGCCTGCATCCAGCACAGGCCCCGCCCCTGGCCCTCGGCCTCCAGCCTCCAGCCTCCCTGCCCGCGTCACGGGCTCACCTGAGTTTCCGAGCCAGCGCCCGCTGTAGTGTGGGGCTCGCCCGCCCGTTTCCTCCGCCAGGCCCCGCCCCTGCCCTCTCAGCTAACCGGCCTGGCCCTCGGGTCCTGGGGCTCAAGCGTGGGCGCCCTCTCTTGCAGTCGTGGAGATGCTGAAGGCTCTGCACGCGCTGCAGAAGGAAAACCAGCGGCTTCAGGAGCAGATCTTGAGCCTGACGGCCAAGAAGGAGCGACTGCAGATTCTCAACGTGCAGCTCTCGGTCCCCTTCCCTGCCCTGTCTGCCGCCATGCCTGCCGCCAACGGCCCCGCCCCTGGGCTCTACGGCCTGCCTCCGCAAGGTGAGGGTTCCCACCTGCCCGGGAGTGGGGCCCTGGCCAGGACGGTCGTGTCTCCAGCCCCTGACCTCTGCTCTGACCCCTTCCTTCAGCCGGCAGCAGCGATTCCTTGAGCACCAGCAAGAGCCCACCCGGGAAGAACAGTCTTGGTTTGGACAACTCGCTGTCCACGTCTTCCGAGGTGGGAGCCACAGGGAGGATAAAGGGGGGAGGGGGGAGCCGCAGGGAGGATAAAGGGGAGAGGGGGGAGCCACAGAGAGGATAAAGCTTGGGGTAGTTGGGGTAGCTGGAGCAGAGCGGGAGACACAGGAATTCCCGTCTGTCACCACCCTGCAGCCATTGGAGTTTGGGCAGTGGCTGAACAGCTGGTTAATTGATCCCTTCATTCATTGATTAAATAGTAATTATGAGATGCCTACTCAGTGCCAGGCACTGGCTAAGCAATCAGAATCATAACAGCCCTGCTCCTGAAGATAGGTTTAATCCCAGAAAACCATCAATAATTACAAACCAGGAAAAGGACTAGGATGGAAATAATTTGAGGGCGTGAGGGAGGCTGGGAGGGGGATTTTCGGTAGATGCATATGTATATGTAAGATGGTGAGCGAGGCCATGAGAGTACTGGTGAGGGTTTGTTCTGCGCCTCGCACAAAGTAAGCCCTGTGTAATTGGCAGTGGTTGGGGTAGCAGTCGCTATTGTTAAGTTGTGGTTATTATTAAAATCAAACAATGTGGGTTCTTGTTCTCCCTGGAACTTACTAACTGTGTGACTTGGGCAATAATAACCATAATAATAACCAACACTAATTGCCTACTTGCCCTTTGGCATGTCCTGTGCCCGAGATCTTTACAGCTGTAGGTTTATTCAGTCTGTGCAATAGCTGCATGGGACAGTTCTTACTACTGCCCCTTGTTATAAGTGAGCACACTGAGACAGAAGCCAGCCGAGCCACTGACATGTGGACAGAGGACTTGCATCTAAGCCTTGCAGGCCACTTGCTGGCCTCTTGCCTGCAGTAACCTAATCTGAGAGCCAGTGGCTTCACCCGTCAGATGGGGGTAGCGACACAGTCCAGGTCCGGCACTAATCCCTGGCTGCTACCCTCATCACTGTCCATGACCAGACAAGGATGAGGAGGGGCGCTGGGCCTCAGGAGTGATCTGAAAACTGGACTTGGGAAGACAGTGTGGGTTCTAAGCCTTGATCCCTGGGCCTTGCCTCTTCCTCCTGGGTGGTGCTGCCTGGGGTGAGGTGGGGTGACTGTGTACTGTGAGAATGCTGGTGGGTGCTGGGCCGGGGGCCAGAATGTCCAGCTGGCCCCCTGCCCCTCTGACCCCTCCCTTCCCCCTCCCTCCCCAGGACCCACACTCAGGCTGCCCGAGTCGCAGCAGCTCGTCGCTGTCCTTCCACAGCACGCCCCCACCGCTGCCCCTGCTCCAGCAGAGCCCAGCCACTCTGCCCCTGGCCCTGCCTGGGGCCCCTGCCCCGCTCCCGCCCCAGCCACAGAATGGGTTGGGCCGGGCACCCGGGGCAGCGGGACTGGGGACTATGCCCATGGCTGATGGGCTTTTGGGGGGGCTGGCTGGCAGCGGGGCCCTGCCCCTTAATGGGCTCCTGGGGGGGTTGAATGGGGCTGCCGCCCCCAACCCTGCGGGCTTGAGCCAGGCTGGCGGGGCCCCTACGCTGCAGCTGCCAGGTTGTCTCAACAGGTGAGGGAGAGCTCAGCCCTGGGGAAGGGAATGGGGAGGCTGGCTCCGGGAGGGACTCCCTGCACACCCCACAGTCCCCAAGACAGACGAGTGTCCTCCAGTCTTACAGGGTATAGAGACTAGTCATCTCTTGGGCCCAGATCCTCCCCAGATGTTAGTGTGCCCTTTGGATGTAGATCTTCAGGGACAAAATGGTCTGTGGATTTCTTTACTCCAGCTTGTGTTTTCCTCCTGGGAAAGTTCTTTGGTCTAACTGTCCTCCCACTGTACTCTCTGAGCTCAGTCTGTCTCTCTCTAGTTCTCTAAAATCACATACCCCTGCCTCCCTCCACCTGGGCCTAAGGGAGTTTGGGAACTGCGGGGGCAGGGAGGGTTGCTTCCCTGTCCCTTCCCATGGTCTGTGTTTTCTCTCCTTGCCGCAGCCTAACGGAGCAGCAGAGACACCTCCTGCAACAACAAGAGCAGCAGCTCCAGCAGCTCCAGCAGCTCCTGGCCTCTCCACAGCTGACCCCGGTAGGCTCCCCTGCCCCCTCTGGCAGCTCTGCTGCAGGTCCCGGCTCAGAGCATCCTGGGCTTGAGGTTGTGCTTGTGGGCTGACTTCCACTGGGCTGACTTCCTCTGGCATGTGGGGACAGATGTGCAAGGATTGTTCTCAGGGCCCCCTGGGTCTCAGGAAAAGGATGCAGGAGGGCCCCACATCACAGCCTGGTGCTAGGACCTGGAGGGTGCTGCCTTCTCAGTAACTGAGCACCCCCTCTCCTGCCCCAAGCATCTTCAGGAAGCACTTCAAGGCCTTTGTGGAGAGGGAGCTGAGCCCGCAAGCAGAGAGCTCTTTTGGGTCTGTCTCGTATGTTGGGTTCTGCTAAGATTTCCTTGAGCGAATAGGAGCTCGGCCTTTTCAACAGGCAGAGGAGGAAGTAGTTCTGTCTTCAAGCACAGACATGGTAAAAATTCTATATACAGATGCACACATACGCACATAACTGCAGGAAGTTAATAAATAACCATACTCGTGTGAAGAAACACTGGAAATACAGACCAGAAGTCGGTCCAGCCGGTTACCTGTCAGTGCCAGATGGGCACAGGGGTTGTACAAGATTTGTTAAGGCAAAACCTTGATAAGTGGTTTTGGCTGGGGGCACTGAAGCTGCTGCCTATTCAGGGCAAAGTAATGCATCTTAAATGGAAAAAGGGGGGCTTCAAGAGCCATTGACCTACTTTAGTGTTCCTTGACTTGGGCTGTTTCCACCCCTTGGGCAGTTGCGGCTGTCACAGTAACTGAGGAACTGATGTCGTGAGGGAGGATGGAGCCAGTGATGTACAGTCCTGCACTTGGCCATCAGCCTCGTCTGGCAAAGCTGATGGTGGACAGCGCTCTCTTGTCCAGATGGGGGGGACTGAGCGCTTGAAAAGAGATGGGAGATAGAACCTTGATGTGTGTTGATCAGATGCCTCCTGCCCTATGCTTCTGTGATGTGGGGGGTGGGGTGGGGGGACCCAGAACCCTGGCCAGTGGGCAGCCTGGCCCTTGACGGGGGGCCCGGAGTCCTGGCCAATGGGCAGCCTGGCCCTCGCAGGAGCACCGGACGGTTGTCTACCACATGATCCAGCAGATCCAGCAGAAGCGGGAGCTACAGCGGCTGCAGATGGCCGGGGGCTCCCAGCTGCCTGTGGCCAGCCTGCTGGCAGGAAGCTCCACCCCGCTGCTGTCCGCGGGCACCCCTGGCCTGCTGCCCACAGCATCTGCCCCACCCCTGCTGCCCGCCGGAGCCCTGGTAACTCCTGCGCTCGGCAACAACACAAGTCTCATGGCCGCAGCAGCTGCGGCCGCAGCAGTAGCAGCAGCCAGCGGACCTCCAGTCCTCACTGCCCAGACCAACCCCTTCCTCAGCCTGTCGGGGGCAGACAGCAGTGGCAGTGGCCCCAAAGGAGGGGTGAGTAGGGGTCTGGGGCTGTCCTGTCCCTTCTCCATGATAGGCTGAGGTAGAAGATATATTGTCAGACCATTCACCGGCAGGAGGAAGTGACCCCACGGTCAGCAAAGCCCCCTCCCTGCTCCAGATCCCAGATCTCTGCAGCTCTGGCAGACCCACAGAGGTGTGGTTTGAGCTGGGCTAGTGGTGAAAGGACCAGTGGGGATGCCCCGCACTGAGATGTCAGTTGCAGAAGGGTATCCTGAGTGGGCCGGGTAGAAAGAGGTGGTACTCTGGGGGGGGCCATTCTGAGAAGAGGTCCCCCTTCTTCTCAGAGGATGTGCACTGGGACCCAGGGTTCCAGTCTTGGCTGGCACATGCCCACTTAGCCAGGCACCCTTATGTGGGGCTCCTTCCCCATCTCCAGTGTGCCCTGGCCAGATAACCAAGCCCAGGGGCTTGGGGGAGGCTCTTCGACTGCACCCACAACAGGTTTCTTGACCCAGGAAGCAGTTCTCAGCAGGGTGTGAGGATCAGACACCTCCTCCCAACACCTGGCCTCCCTTCCTCTCTTTCCAGACCGCTGACAAAGGAGCCTCAGTCAACCAGGAAAAAGGCTAATCCACCCACACCCCTCCTGACCCCTAGGTGGAGGGGGTAGTCCTGGCCTGAGGGGTCCCAGTCTGAAGCGGACACCCTGTGCTCAGGCACTGGAGAGCCGGCCCCAAGTGTGTGCCGTGGTCTAGGGAGTGTGGGGCACTCTTGGTGCCCAGGACTGAGACCCAGAGGGGAGCCCTTCTGTCTGGCCCCCATCCCCCTCTGCACTGACCCCTTTGTGAGGGGCTCAGAGGGAGGACAGGCTCCCAGGCTGCCTAGGAGTGCCCAAGCTCAGCAAATGTTCTGTGGTCCCCAGAGAGCAGAGTGGGCATGGCGTAAGTGGGGGTTGTTGAGCCCGCCACGAACGGACCAGCAGTTGAGTGGGAAGAAGGGGAGGGAGGGGCCCTGGGCCTCCCCTTGCCGGTCATCTTCTGTGGAAGTAGGGGCAGCCTGACCGTGCCTGTGGCTTCTTCCCAACGTAGACAGCAGGCAGGAAGGATCCTCGGACTGTTTCTCACTGGTCCCCTTCCCCTCCCCCAACAGGGGTCTCGAGCTGAGCTCGTAGAAACCCTGAGGGGGCTGAGGAAGGGGCAGGCTGGCAAGGCTCCCCACCTCCGGGCTGGCGCCCTGCCCCTCGTTTGCACTATTGGATTAGGAGTGCCAGGGTGGGAGATGGAGCTGCCCGACTCAGTGAGTGTGCGTGTGTGCATGTGCGAGAGTGTGGCCGGCCTGGGCGGCGGGCAGGGCAGGGAGGGGGCAGTGCTCAGACAAGGCCTCGGAGGGGCTCCCAGCACTTGTTGGCACCTCCCCACCTCACCAACTTTGGTCCCTTTCTGGGGCATAAATGGTTAACAAAAACCAGACAGTACTCCAATATTGGAGAGTAAGCGGGGCTGGGAGCTTTGAATCAGGGTAATATCCTGCCTTTCCCCCCCAGACCCACGTAGTCTCATGCCCTCTCAGGGCACCCCTCCTCGCTGGTAGCTGGTAGTGGGCTCTGCTTCCCTGTCACCAGGGGAGCCCCAGGGACTGAGGGAGGAGGTGGGGGCAAAGTGCTACTTCCTTTAGTGAACACCTCCCTCCCTGGACTAGCCAGCCCCTCCCCAGCCTCCCCTCACCGGCCTAGGGAAAGAGCTTAAGCTGACCTAACAGCTGTTGCTTCACCCACCAGCTAGTTCCTTGGGTGCAGTGGGCCGCTGTCACCTTGAAGAGGCCCGTCTGCCCAGGGCCTTTGGGGGCCAGGGCAGGGTGGGCCACCGGCCAGGCGAGAGCAGGCCTGCTGTGTGCTGCAGTTGCACTGGGGTGGGAGCAGGGAGACGAGGCTCCGCTTTCCCTGACGCTCATGTCTTGTCAGTCTCTTTGCATGTGTGGAGTTTTTTGTGTGTTTCTGTTTGGGTTTTTGTTGTTGGTGGTTTTTTTTTTTTTTAATAAAGAAAAGAAGATGTGTATATTTTTGGCAACAACAGAAACGTAGTGCAGATATATTTTTGCCTGTGCTGCTCAACTGGTTTTTTTCTGATACTGAAAATAATATTAATAATCCTGTTGATAAGACTTTGTAAGATGTTAGGGAGCTGATAATGGAGGGGGCGGGAATCCTTCAGAGGCAATTTCTTAGGCACTTGCAAGGGCTTGGGGGAGGGGGGAGCAGTTGTGATGACCTCAGAAATACTCACTTTTTATTAATGCTAAATATCAGTTAGAATGAAATGATAGAATTCAGCATCTTATGCATCTTCATCTATTAAGCTCTCTAACTCCCTGCCCCCAAACCACTGAAAAGAAAAGAACCCTCAGAGATGTTTAGAAGAGCTGCCCATTCACACCCACGCCACTTAGCGCTCAAGTCCACTTCTGTTCTGCATGGTGAGGGGGGCCCCACCCCGGGGCTGCGGAGAGGCCCGCAGCGGTCAGTGCGCTGGAACCGAGACTCCCGCCCCAGTCTCCAGAGTCCCGGGTTCTCATCACCAAGTCTGTGTTCTCCCCACCAAGTCTGTGTTCTCCCCCGTTCCCAGACTGGGGTGCAGTGGCGGGTAGTCAGGTGAGATTTGAAGGACCCAGGCTGGGGAAGACGGGGCTGTCTCTCCAGTGAGGGGCGGAGGGTGAGGGCGCTGGGTGGTGGCGGCATTTCCTTTCAAAGGAGTTTTATCTTGGGAATATGGGGAGATGCTGGGGAGGGGCAGGATCTCCGTGCAGGTCAGGGGTGGCCCTCTGCCCTCTGCCCGCCCAGCGGTGTCTTTCCAGGATGTATCTGGAAGGGGAGGGGATGCAGATTTGCAGATCTTTCCGTCTAAGGGGAGGGGAAGGATGTGGGTTTGGGGCGGAAGTGGAGTGTGAAAAGTGCGTGTGGAGCTCTGTGTGCACTCAGGGAGGAGCTGCTGTCCTGCCTTGCGGTCACAGTGTGACTGTCCGCTGGAAGGGACCTGTTTTTAGACATTGTGTAGGCCAGCTCCTCCATTCACAGGTGGTACCTAACTCCAAGCCGGGGGCAGAGTCTTGACCAGCCCTCAGGACCCTGCCCTCCTGGTCTCTGGCTCTCAGCCCACCTGAGACACCCCTCACTAGCACACCCCCACCCCCACCCCCTGGCTGGCTGTCCCTGGGTATGCGATTGTGGTGTGAGTGCAGGGCTCACCCGCAGGATATCTGTAGCCCTGGCTAGTAGCGCTCTGCGGATCCTTCCAGAGACAATGACACTTTCAAGGTTGCTTTTTTTTTTTTTTAGTTTTACCTATTTGTGTAAGTTTTCCCCTCAGGCTCCTGGGTCTCCTGCTGCCTCCAGGCCTCCTTATATTAAAGCTGAGGCGAGGACCCCTGCCCACTCCTGTACTGAGTTCTGGGGAAGTACTCCAAGGAAAGACTAGAAAGGGGAGCCAGAGTCAGGGGCCAGTTTTGAGAAGGTAACGCCACATTTGCCTTCTGCTGAACTGGGAATGCAGGATTCCAAAGAGAGGTTCCCTTGGCCACCCAGCCTGTCTCGGTGAACCCTGGACCAGGGTTAGAGCAGCAGCTTGCTCCCAGTTGACCCAACTCACTTCCCTGGGGAGAGGTATCTGGAGGCATTAAGGTCACTTCACCTGGGCATTCGGGGGATGGCGGAGTACAGTATTTCCCAGCCTCCCTCCGTCACATCAATCCAGATTCAAAGCCGGTCTGGCTCCTACCCACTTGGACTTGATCTACTGAAAAGTGGGGTCTGAGGGGTGCTTTCATTGCCCTTTGTTCACTTTCTACAGCCCAACTTGGGACTTCCATGTTGGACTGGAGACCCAAACTGACTCACTGACATCCACCCCACCCTTCTCAATGTAGCAGACCCTTCCCCGGGGAGCAGGGAGGGGAAGCCACAGTTTGCAAACCCAGGGGCTCCTTTTTCATTATTTCTAAAACCTTTATATCCTCAGCCCAAAAGGCAAGCCCCCCCCACCCCTGCGCCCAAGCCTGGAATTGTGCATCACCGGGATCTTGTATCTTTGTATAACGGATGTTATTTGTACGAAGGGCAGTTCGTAAACAGCACTTGTTCTTTTAATAAAAGAATGTTTTACAAAAAAAATAATAATAATCCAAAGAGACCTTGCTTTGTGTGGCTTTATTGAAGGGAAAGGGGTGGAATGCTGGCCGGGGGTGGGATGTGACCTGGTGTTTTTCCTTAAACATGTAGTTCTTAGATCAGATGCACAAACACCGAGGTTGCGCTTGGAATTTCGGACGCCGGTGCCCCACCCGCCGGAACGCGGCGCGCGAGCCCGGCCGGTGGGAGCGGCACCGCACGGAGCTGCCAGACCCCGCCTG